GTTTAAAATACAGAATCCTCTGCCTCAGACATTGATCTCAACTACAACCATAAATCCATGTAAGATTCTTGTAAAACTAATTACTTTCACAACACGCAGATACCACACACTCATTTTTAATTATTACAACAAGCTATAACACGAGTTCCTCCCAGGCGGCCTAAATGAGACATAGCTGCTGTTTTTTTTGTAGCTTCTGATTTGGCCGTTGTAAATATGCCTGTGTGTTTTATTGTCCATAAATCGTGCGTCTTCTCCGCCGCGGCATGCCTGAGTAAAACGCCTTTATTTCCCCGCAGATCCGATGCCGTTATTAATCTTCAACATCCGGAAACATCACACAAACGCTGCAGCTCCAGGCACAGACGCAGAGAGGAGATGTGTCTCAGGGGGCTCCCATTCCTCAAGTTTTACTTTTAATGATGTGTCAATTTACCTGGAGTTTTGGGACCGCGTTAGGGAGAATTCTTAAGTAGCCAGACCTGCTGCTTGTCTACTCAGATCACAGCAAAAAGTGAAGGAAAATAAGTCAAATATGGCTCCAATTTAGTTAAACGTGCACATTCTGACTGAGTCTTAAAACAGATTTGCCAATAGGACGAAACTTAATTATTTTGTTTTAAAAAGATACAGAAATGTCTCCCTTGGAATGAGGAAATAAACAGTTCTTGAAGTAAGACTAAAGGGCTTTGTCCCATTGGAGAATCTAGTTTTAAGTCAGAATGTGCTAAAATTGAGATTCAAGCATTTATTTTCGTCATTTTTATGGTTTTTTGCGTTGATGTCATTGAGATGGAAGGAAGTAAATGTATTTATTTATCATGGCAGCTCAGTTAGTTATAGAAAAAAAATTGTAAATAGATATCTCTGAGGACTTTTCAAAGCTGTCGATTCGCCAACACAGATCAGAGAATCAGACAGTCCAAACACATAGAGCCATTGGTCCATAAGGGGCAGTGACCGATGTCCATGAACGTTGATAGAAGTTGTTTACAGAATGAGACTGCTGCGACAGGTTAGATCATTTTGGTGAAGGTTCAGGTGTACTGTGTTGCCTTCTGCATTTGACCCATCCGTCTGACAATGGTGACCACAGTGCAGCGCCCAGGGACCGCTCTCCTCATGTTGATGATCAGGTGTCTGCACTGGCTTCCTGTGGCTCAGAGAACACACTTCAAGCAGTTATTTTTGTGCTATTTGTGTCTGTCCATGGCCTCGCACCAAGGTTCAGCTGTGACATGTGCCGTATAAACCAATGGAAGAGAACAGTCCTCTTCGAGCTGAACTTTGAGGATTTTTTTTCTCTTTCGTGATCAATTTTTTATTCTAGTGTCACATTGTATTTACATTTTTGCACTGGTTGGCATGCATTTGTCCCCTTTTTGTTCCAAACATCCCCATTGCCCTTGTGATGGGCAGAGAAGCTCAAAAATAAAACATAAAAAAAGAATGCATAAAAAAGGTTCAAGACAAACTTAATGTTTAATTGAAAAATAAAACCAAGATGTACACATGAATACAATAAATAACTTTAACCCTATCCAGGTCAATATACAAAACTGTTCAAGCAATGAACTAAATATTCAGATGTGAAGCAAATTATACAGTTGAGTGTCATTGGAATAAGTTATCATTTTATTAAGTAATATGTGGCTAAATAAATAATTCACTTTAGCTCCAGGAAGACTCCAGGAAGTCTGGCGGGCTCGTTTGTTAAACATCAGAAGGAAGCAGGCTCTGTATACGCTAAAACACAGTGTCTTTTGTTGTGTTGGCACTTCCTTTCCTGTCTGCACATGAAGGTGTGTTAAAGGAGCTGCAGACTCAACATATACAAAGTGCTGATTTCCTCCGTCAGAGACATCCACAGAAATAGTAGTTTACATGAAGACTATGTAAGATACAGAAATCCATACGCACAATACATATAATTACGTGATAAGTGTTCACACATACAAAGTACGTGTGAAAAGTACCATCCTGATTTACATCTCCCTGCAGATCCGATACTATTTGATCTTGACCAGCCCTCACATTTCTTAAAACAATGGAGAAACCACATTGAGTCTGTTTTTTCAAGAATAGATTTAGCTATACGTTTTTAGATTTAGAATATTTTAATTTTTGTTCCATTGGCACATCTTTTTTTAAGACTGTTCGCAAATTAATGTTGTCAAATATGGACCCTTTCTCTGTTTTTGTGTTATGCCCATTAAAGAATCTGTCACAAATGATTAGTGCTAAAATAAACGATCCTTGTGGAGGGACTTTGAAGAGGGTGGGGAGCTACAGGCCCCATGGTCATTTAATCTGCTTTTAATCACTGTGCCATTTTGACCCGAGAGAAGCACGAGAGATAACAGAGCGTCCCTTTTCAAAACTCAGATATCTCCATTTGCGTAATCATTATCAGTCGTCAGCGAACCATAACATCCAAAGAACAGGTCCACACAAGTTGGGGGAGATCTAAAACTGCTACAAATCCTGGTAAGAATTCTTGTTGGAATTATCGGGGATCTCTTTTTGTATAGTCTGCAAAAAGTGATGAACAACAAGCCAAATATTGGTCAAATTTGGCATAAAGTGCTGTAGATTTGGAGATTCGGAGAAAAGGCTCGCACCATCGGTATCCTCTTTTACGTCATTTCTTGAAACCCACTTTTATCGAACAGCTTTTAATCGTCAGCTTTAAACTTCTCATGTTGTATTTTACTGTCTGCTTTGTTTTGTCTTCTTGTGTTTCCTCTGTTTGACTTGTCCTCCTGTATCTTCTATTCTAATTATTTTGACTATATATTCTTCTGTCTGTTTAATTGTTTATTATGCTGAGTCTGACTGTGCAGCGCTTTGTAAACATTGTTTTTGAAAAGTACTCTACAAACAAAGATGTATTATTATCATTATCTCTGCCCTTTGCCAACTGCCCACTTCACACCCTTGCTTTTTAACGCATCTCACTAAATAAGGCAAACAACAACAACAACAAAAAATAATTCTACAGTCACAACCAATATTTATAGTGAATTGGGAATGACAGCAAGGGGACATATAACAAAAATAATGTTTAGTGTGGAATAAAATTAGGATGTATTTCTAAAATGGGAATGACGGTAAGGGGACTTATAATTATGATAATGTATTGTTGAGTATTGAAATTATGATAAATGTAATGCAAATAATAACAAAATCATGATCAGTCAATAGAATGGTGACCGGTGTTCTTAGGTAATGATTTAATGAATGTAAACTGTATGACGCCTGTATTTTCCCCGTTATTGACTGTAGCTGAAAGTGATCACTCGGAGCAGGGGGTAGGCACTAATAAGCTTTCTTGCTTCAGCCTACTCCTTTTGAGCTACTTTATAACAGTGTAATCTTGTAATAATGCAAAATATGTTTGCAAAAAAATGGTCAAATAAAAATAATAATCAATCAATCAATTATTAACTTGAGCACATTCTGACTGAGCCCTAAACAAGATACTCCAATGGGACAAAACAAAATGATCTTTAAAATGATTTAAAAAAAAAAATGTCTCCCTTGGAATGAGTAAATAAAACCACAGTTGACTAAACGTCCAATTGGAGAATCCTCTTAAAACACAATCACAATGTGGTCAGAAAAACATAAAAAACCACTGGATTCAAGAATTTATTACTTCATGTTTGATCAGGTTTTTGCAGTGTACCGGCCTCAACATAACCAGGAGTCACTGATGGCATATTCTTTGGGCTTCAGGACTGTGTTTATGTATTCTCCCCGTCAGGTTCTAAAAAATGAAAAGCCGACGTGTTATTCCGTGTCCTTTAGAGCAGTGGTTCCCAAAGTGGGGGTCCCGACCCCCCGGGGGGTCGCGGGAACCCCTGGAGGGGGTCGCAAGATGATTTCCAAAAAAATAAAAAAAAAATAAAAAAAATGTAGCTAATTAATAGCCCTTAAATATTGATTTAGCATTGGATTTGATTCAAAAGGACTACTTGTTAAATTGTGTTAGGAGAATATAAAATATTTTAATTACGTTTGTAATTTTGTCCAGTCATTGACAGCGTCAATCAAAATCAAGTTACGCAGCTTACGTCACGCAGCGACAAAGCGTGTCCAGCTGTTGTTTGCTAAAACTAAAGGTGTTTGGAGGCTTCAAACAAATAATACCTGCTTTAAAATGAAACGTGGTTAATATCCACAACAGAAAAACCCGGAGGGAGAGAAAAGTCACATGTGAGGTCAGGCTGATGGTGCGAAGAGAGGGAGAGAGGGCAGCGGAGAGAGAGAGGGCAGCGGAGGGAGAGAGGGCAGCGGTAGAAGAGGGTGGTAAAGAGGCCCGGCTTTTCGGAGTCAGTGGTAAAGAGGTCCGCACATTAAAAGCAGGTGGCTGCTTTATGCTGTTACTTACAGTAACTTTGGAAAAAGAAGCCGCAGGGATGAAGCGCATAAAGTAACAGCAGAAAGCGGCCGCCCGCTTTTTGTGTGCGGACCTCTTTACCGCTGACTCCGAAAAGCCGGGCCACTTTACCGCGGTAGGAGAACAGAGAGGGCGAGCCGCAAGAAATGCGCTCCACTTCTGCTAAGAAGGGAGCCCACCAAGCCCATCACTGTGTCACTACGTGAGTAAAAATACGCAAGCCTCCTTTTTTGGGCTGGACAGTGCAGCTCAGTAGTGGCGCGAGTCTCTGCGTTACTCCGTATCAAGGAAATACATGCTCATTGACGGGAAGGACTGTTGAGGTGGGGTGTCGCGGGGGAGCAGCGCATTTATGATGGGGGTCGCGGGCTAAAAACTTTGGGAACAGAGTTGCGGCTGTTTGTCTCCTCGCCGACGCGTCTTTCCTTGGATGTTCTGCTCTGCAGTCGTCTCGCATGTGTTCAATTAAATCTAATGACAGCCGTGTTGCACCAAAGTCAAATCATTTTCGAACAATAGAAATAAAAGTAACAAGTCGCACAGAAAACGGGGCCATTTGCTGCTCGCAGATTAGCGCTGATGCACCTTCCGGAATCCATTAGCACCCGCCCTGTTCCTGACACTTACACGGGAGAGGCAGGCGATTAGACCCACTGCCAAATCCATTCTCTTTCACGAAAACAAGAGATGTGTTGTTTTCGGCTGTGATTTTGTCAGCCTGAGCGACAGTCATGACTCCAACTGTGAAAACGCAAAAAAAGTTATAGGCAAACTCGGCTCAAACTTCAGTAAATGACTACGAAATGTTATTGAAAGCGTCTCGGACAAAGGTCTCAAACCTTTCCCCGGGTAGATATTTTTAGGGATAAAAGTGAGAGCTACTGCTTTTTGACAGTTGATATAATGTGATGCTACAGTAGATTAAGTCGATTTGAACTACATTTAAATAAATAGATAAATTAAAACATTAGTCCAAGGGGCAGAGACCAATGTTTATAAATATCGAGTGTCTATTGAAGCCACAGCTGCCCTGGGGCACACTGACAGAAGCTTGGCAACCAGTGTGTGCCATCAGCCCCTCCGACCACTACCAACCACTCACACACAACAGACTCATTCTCATGTGGGTGAAGTGTATTGCCTAAGGACACAGCCATAGTTTGGCACTTTACAGCCGCAGCCGCCCCACTGTGGCACCTGCTGTTTCCAGAGGTCTCCCATCACAGTACTAAACAGGCCCTGTCCTGCTTAGCTTCAGAGGTCTGAAAGGATCTGGCAACTTCCATATTTACACCAATGAAACCCCATGAAAGTAACATGTTTATTCTTGTGTCTTGTGTAAATCTCCTCCTCTCTGACCTCCACCTTCTCTTTCATCTCCACCTTCTCTCTGACCTCCACCTTCTCTTTCATCTCCACCTTCTCTTTGACCTCCACCTTCTCTTTGATCTCCACCTTCTCTTTGACCTCCACCTTCTCTTTGACCTCCACCTTCTCTTTGATCTCCACCTTCTCTTTGATCTCCACCTTCTCTTTGATCTCCACCTTCTCTTTGATCTCCACCTTCTCTCTGACCTCCACCTTCTCTTTCATCTCCACCTTCTCTTTGATCTCCACCTTCTCTTTGACCTCCACCTTCTCTTTGACCTCCACCTTCTCTTTCATCTCCACCTTCTCTTTGATCTCCACCTTCTCTCTGACCTCCACCTTCTCTCTGATCTCCACCTTCTCTTTGACCTCCACCTTCTCTTTCATCTCCACCTTCTCTTTGATCTCCACCTTCTCTTTGATCTCCACTTTCTCCTTGACCTCCACCTTCTCTTTGACCTCCACCTTCTCTTTACTCTCCACCTTCTCTTTGATCTCCACCTTCTCTTTGATCACCGGCTCTTTGACCTCCACCTTCTCTTTACTCTCCACCTTCTCTTTGACCTCCACCATCTCTTTGATCGCCGGCTCTTTGACCTCCACCTCCACCTTCTCTTTGACCTCCACCTTTTCTTTGATCTCCACTTCCTTTTTGATCTCCACCTCCACCTCTTCTTTGACCTCCACTTTCTCTTTGACATCCACCTTCTCTTTCACTTACACCCTCTCTTTGACCTCCACCTTTCTCTTTGATCTTTATTGTTACCGTGGACACTCTTCCTTAACTCCTTCCACAACATCTGCGCGCCACACTTCAGCACACATTAAGTTTGCTTCGCTAACGGCTCTTCCCGGGCGTCTCGATCGTTGCCAGACAAACCTCTCATCGCGGACGCCACCAGTTTCCTCGTTTAGTGCCTCAAAGCCGAGTGGGACGTGCCATCATGGGCCGGGTTTATGGGCAGACGTGGCTCCGCAGAGTTGTTAGTTCCGGAGATGCACAGCTGCGGCGGTAATGAATGAAAGAATGAAGAATGTTGAATGGAGACGTGTGTAAGGAGAGAATGGAGCAGGTTTAGGAGAGAGAGGAGAATTAACAAACACTATATGAATAAAAATTACTTACTTACTGCAAGAAATGATACAATATAAGGTATTAAATGTTTGAATCTATCTAATGGTCGCAGGTTCATTCCCCCCACGACCCATTTCATCTGCTCCCTCTGATGTCCGCTGTCGTTGTGTCCCTGGGCAAGACACTTAACCCCACTTTGCCTGAAGGCCCCGCTGAAAGACCAAGGCCCTGTTTTTGATGATCCCAGGATAGGATTCATGAAGGGGAAGATATTGACAGTGAAATGTTTGAATCCAGTGTTTTTACCCTAATTTTACACATTGTGACTGTGTTAAAACAAGATTCTCCAATGATACAAAGTCTGATTTTAAGAACTATTGCATTAAAGCTGCACTAACTGACTTTATTTTTGTGTTCATTACAAAAATGCCATGTCCATGCAGTGCATTGGGATGTACGTCCTTTTGAAGAAAAAGTAGCTGAGATTTGTGCTGGCGTGACATTATATTTTAGACGAGTTTTGATGAAACAAGGAGAGAGACTGTGTTTCGGGTCGCAGATTGTGGCCAATCACAGCGGACCACTAGCCCCCACTTTTGTGAGAAATCTACAGGTCCCCCGTTAGCATAGACAGCTGAGTTAGCACAACAAGCGGTGGAGCTAACCTGAAACTTCGTGTGTCTTCGTCACCGGTTACTGCTTACACAGCGAGACAGCCATCCAAAAGAAAGTCCTGTTCCTCCGCGCTTCCCGGTTCTATCATTCTATGGCATGCATCAACAACAGAGGGTGTGTGTGGGGGGGCGATAGCTTTGTGGGTGCGGGGAGGGGAGCAGAAAGAGCGTGGCCAGCGGGTCCGCTGCTTCAAAATCCCAAAGTCAGTTAGTGCAGATTTAATTCCAAGGGAGACACTTCTATATCTTTTTAAAACCAGATCATTTTTCTTTTGTCCCATCGTGAAATCTTGCTTTAACCCTTTAATATACATTTTTCAGTGTTTTAATTTCCAAGATGTAGCAGCACTAATATCGCATATAATTTGTATTTTTTGTTTTTATTTTTTTTAAATCCTTGGCCTTTATAAAATGGTTGAGAAGCAGTTTGATGGTAAAAGTGCCTAAAATCAAGTGAGATGCCCCAAAAAAGTATAGCTTCAAGTCGATAAAATGTAGGCAAATTTGAGATATTTTCAACTTTTGCGTTGTAATTAATAAGTAGGAATATAGAAACTCACACTGAGCCCCCTGTGCTGTACACCTGCCCCAGTTCAAGTGAGAGCGGAAAAAACAGTGTCAGAATCAAAAAACAAAAAGTGGCAAGGCAAGTTTATTTGTGTAGCACAGTTCACATGGAAGGAAACACACAAGGAAACTGCCGAACAAAATACACTAGAAACGATTCAGGTGGTTAGTCTTTTGAACTAAAAATACTGAACTAAACTCAATGATCGATTTTTGCCAGTTTTACTTAAATTAGTGTGTCTCAACTCATTTTGAACATGCCCGTCTCAATTAAAAGTGAATACAAGAATTCAAACTCATTTTTGTAACAAATGTGATATTCTGTCATAACTGGACAACGGAGAAGTATTGAGTTTGCTCAACATGAAAATTCTCGCGTGACGTCACATGTGGACTCTGTACTAAAGAATGTAATGCAGAGATATTGTCCACACACAGCATACACTGTAAAAAGTGAATCAGACCAAACTTTGATGTAAAATATTTTAAGTAATTACTATATACTTCATTTTCCACTCTTTTATATTTTTGGTTAACAAATAAGTACTGTATAATATTATCATAGCTCCCTGTACAATACTGATTTTTATTGCTTTAAGTGAAGTATTTTGTGTGTGAAGTATTTATTTTGTAAGCCTGGTGGTCCATTAATGACAAAACAAATATATTGTGTTGATTGAAAACAAAATGTGGCGAAGCAGTGACGCTACCCAGAATGCATTGCAGAGAAAAATGTAAACTTCTTAAAAATTCTCCATTTGAGCATTAATTTTAAGAGTGAATATGAAGCAAGTCCTTAAGCAAAATACTTGAGCAACATTCTGAATGAACTAATTTGACCAAATAAGTAATTGTATTTATTTTTAAGCCAAAGCAGCCCTATACTCCCCGGGTCATCTTTCAATATTGATCAAATACTATAGAGTGCTCACCATGCTTGCCTGTATCTGTACTGGCCCCGCCCCCAACTCTGTGTGGAGTGAGAGACTAATGCCCAAAAGTAAATTGTAAACAATTGTAAACCGCTTTGTGAAAGGCGGTATATAAATAAACATAACTTACTTCTACTTACTACTGACTGAAAATCACTCGCTGAACATACTCAAAAAGATTCATTTTCAATATAATTATTGAAGTTGGTGGTATTGTTAAAATTGAGTTGAACTGATGCACTTGCTGAATAAACTTAACAAAGTGTCTTTATAACTCAATTATCCAAGTTGGCGGAATTGGAAAAATTGTGCTGGACCATTGATAAAAGACTTACAAAGAATACTTTAAACACAGTCTTGTTCACAAAACTTAAAAAGATGCATGCAAATTGTTGCCTCAAAGTTTTGCTAATGCATTTTTTTTCAGAGTGTAATACAAGGGATAAACATCTTAATTATTCACAGTAGGAGATACAATCCTTCAGTTGTTACAGCGAAATGGAACTGTTTTTAACCTGACTTGATACATTGTCAGAGAAGAAGCCTGTCAGGAAGACTGTTCCCGATTTTAGATGCATGAATCTGAAACGCTGCCTCCACATGTTGAGTACTGACTCTGGGACCAGCAGGAGCCCAGTCCCTGTGCTCCTCAGAGTCCCAGCAGGAGTCTAGTCCCTGTGCTCTTCAGAGTCATGTACTTTGGTACGAGGCCGTGGAGAGACTTGTAACAAACAGAGCTGAGCCACAGGTGCAGAGACCTGAGACCAGGACTAATGTGATAGTACTTCCTGGTTCTAGTCTGGACTCGAGCTGCAGTGTTGTGAATGTAGACCGCAGCTAAAACAGTACAACTCATGACCCATATTCTCAAAGCACTTTAGAACCACAGAACATTCCGTCCGACCGCCTCCTGCCCCGATTCCCTATGATCCTGATCACTCCCTGGACTTTTTTCTTCCTCCAATGAAAAAAGAAACATCTTGGTGAGAAAATGTAAAAAAAAACTATACCTTTGGCTTATTCCTATCTATTTTTAGTTTTTGTTGCATGAAGATTATTAGACTATTTTTTAATCTTTTTAAATAAAAAAAGTCTGAGCAGTGAGTGTTTTTTAACTGGTTTTATTGTTTTGTTTTTCTTATTTCCAGATTTGTTTGGATAAAATAAGTTTGTTATTCTATATTCTAAGAAATAAGTAAAAAACAGTTTTTAAACCAGAATCAAGTTGTTTGGGGCTCGTATTTATTTTTCTTATTTTCAGTAATTTTTAGATCATTTTTCAAAAATCATTTGAAGCAGTTTTTGATTATTTCTATATATTATTTTCTTCAACGATTATATCAGTGTCGTGGGTCGAACGAGGCTGAAGCTGCAGCGGAGCATTAAAAGTTAATGTTGGAGCTAATGTCATAAAGAATGCATCACATCCTGCATTAATTCATAATCGTTACTCGCTAACACTCGCTAACACTCGCTAACACTCGCTAACACTCGCTCACGGAGAGGATCGGACTTCACTGCTCCCCGGAGACTCTCCCAGGACTCTGGCGTTTGGTTTTCAATCGACTGAAGCTGAAGGAGATTTTTAACGTTGTGGATTCTACAAAGTTTGACATTTCTCCAGTGACTTGAAAAGTGTTAACACAGCATCAATATGAAGATTTGGATTTTTTGACTGAAAGTTCACACAAAAGTAACAGATTAATGTGAATTGAAAGTAGAGCAGAGAGAGAGAGACCAGAGGAAGAGAGAGACCAGAGAGAAGGACCAGAGAGAGAGACTAGAGAGAAAGACTAGAGAGAGAGACTAGAGCATGGGACATCAGAGAGAGAGACCAGAGAGAGACCAGAGGGAGAGACTAGAGAGAGACTAGAGAGAAAGACCAGAGGGAGAGACTAGAGAGAGACTAGAGAGAAAGACCAGAGAGAAACTAGAGAGAGACTAGAGAGAGACCAGAGAGAGAGACCAGAGAGAGGGACAATAGAGAGAGACCAGAGAGAGAGACCAGAGAGAGAGAGACCAGAGAGAGGGACAAGAGAGAGAGACCAGAGAGAGAGACCAGAGAGAGAGACCAGAGAGAGAGACTAGAGAGAGGGAGACCAGAGAGAGAGACCAGAGAAAGAGACCAGAGAGAGAGACATAAGAAAGAGAGAGACCAGAGAGAGAGAGAGACTAGAGCGAGAGATTTGAGAGACCAGAGAGAGACCAAAGAGACACATCAGAAAGAGAGAGACCAAAGAGTGACCAGAGAGAGAGAGACTAGATAGAGCCAGACTAGAGAGAGAGACTGAAGAGAGGTGCTCCACTCTGAAAGAGGGCTGTGAGCTGCATGTTCTGGAGGTTCTGTATGAATCCAGCTTTTAGAATTATCACTGAGTCTATCGGCCTCTCGAAACACCATGTTCCAGCTTCTTCCCTCTGGCAGAAGACATCATCATTGGCTGAGATGCAGGACATGCTAACATGCAAACAGCTTCTTTCAGCTGTTCTGAGTCCGAACACAGCACTCGTTTCTTGTACTTGTTTATCTTGTTTCATTCCTGTACTTGTCT